AAAGCCTTCCCAGGTACCTGCTCAYAGCAGCACCTGCTTCACCCACACTCTGCAGCCCTTCAGCTCCCTCCTTTAATCTTTCCACATCAAATGAAATGATTTTCAGAGATACTCTGACTAATTAAGGTCATTCCTAATGCTGAGTTAAACTTGCTGTCAACACACACGGATTTCTACACAGACTGGACTAATTGAGGCAGGGGAGTACAGAACAGCAACCCTGTCCAAAAAACAGATTTTCTGTCCACTCCAAACTCTCCAGCCTAACACTGCATCGACTGGGGCTCATGTGTCAATTCAAGGTACTTTTATCACCTCAGACATGAAGTRGCTACATTAAAACCTCTCCACAGCYMTTMTYTTAAAAAGATTTTCCATTAAACTTATTTCTCAACTAGTAATATTTTATTTCTTAACTAGYAATATTTCTCAATYAGTAATATTTWAATGGTTATARCAAGAACCCTACCAAAAGGCCCACRTCTTCTCAGTGCACAATAAACTTTACACTGACCAGTACTTACCCTGTGCAGTTGAGCTGATTATAAAACAAACATTTTCAAGCACCACCTCTGTTTAAGTGAACCTCAAAAATCACTTTTTTACTATCTGTATGGATAGACAAATGTGGGAACTCCTGCCTGTTTGTGCTGCCAACACTAAATACAGCTCTAAACACAACTCAAGTGCTTTCTAAGCCGTCATTTTTTCCTGGGCATTTGCAGGTTTGGGGTTTTTATCCCACAAGGAAGGAAGTTGCAGGGAACAGACAGACACTGCTCAGAAGTGTTTTCACACCTCCAGGCTGGAGCCCAGCTGGGCTGTGGTTTTGTACAGCCAGGGCACTTATTTGCCTTCCCTGCCTTTCCAAGCCAAACATTTCTCACACAACACAAGTCCTGCTGCAGAGCTCTGCACCTGCAGAGTCAAAAGAAAGCTGTGCCTGGCCAAAACTTCTCCTAGTGCAACATGTACTGGCAAACCAGAGTGAACTTGGCCTTTCAATGCTAAAAAAAAAATGCTTGGCAGAACCACCAGTGAACTCTTTACCTAATTCTTTCCAGGGCACTTCTCTGTAGATCAAGTAAATAAAATCTCAGCGAGCAGATGATAGCCTGTTGTCCCTGATCAATATGTTATCAGCAGGAGAGAGGCAGTCAGGCACCCTCAAGGAGCTAAACAAAGATAGAGTTCCCTGAGTGGACAGATGGAGGGACAACCTGATCTCTGGCTCTGCCCTGCCATCTGGAAACCATTCAGCACAAGCTGACCCCCACCTCATGTGCACCATTATTTCTCCCTGTCAAAGTGCACACCATCTGCATGATGKGACACCCCTGATGGGGAAATACACAGAAATAAAAGTAAATTTAGTCAATAGCTAAATATATTGGGAAAAAAAAACCACTGTATGATTGCACCTTACTGCAGACAGACTGGAACAGCACCAAGCCATTCAGGAGCCCTTGTAATATTTCCAATTTGCAGAGGGACCCAGCAGGCATCACACAGAGAGATCAGATGTGTGTGCATTAGAGAATTGGTGCACTGCTTCTACAGAAAATAGCAAAAAAGCAAGGGCTTTAATAAAATAATCTTATTTATATGGGCAATAATCTGCTCCATGACACATGGCAGTTGTTGATGAGGGGTAAGGCAGTGACATGAAAGGAAAAACATCACTGAGACTCTTCTCTTGGATCAGAAAAAGCCAGCCCTGCTCTTACTGATCCTGTGCAGTGGCACAGTGGCAGCCTCTGGGTTTCTCACTGCTGGGACAGCAGCAAACCCCTCTGCCAGAACCACCTGGGCAGGAAAAACAGGTGGAGATACATCCAGCTTTTATATCTAAAGCTGCACACGGAGGCAAAATAAAGGTGGAAGGAAAATAAACAACACTGACAAGAGTTAACTTGTGCAGCTTTATTTTTAATAAAAAAAATATTTTTTATTAAAAAAATAAACAAACAAAAGCGTTGAAACCAACAAACACAATTACCCACAGCCAGCTTCACTCCTGTTGACCAATGCATTTCTCTTTCAATTTCCTGTTTTAGGAATTGGAGAACTACTGTCATCCAACCTGAAATATCCCTGGTTTGCAACTTTCTAGCGCTGAAACCTTGCAAAAATCCTTGCAGCTCCTTCAAGGTCAGGATTTGGAAGCAACRGGCAGATCCTGTGGTGTGTGCCCTCAGCCCCACTGGGCTCAGCCACCCTGGATGGGGCAAGCACAGCTCAGCACCAGAACAGCCGGCACAACTGGGATGGAAAARGGAACCTCCAGACAACCTTCAGACACCAACAATGAAACATTTTAAAGGCACGAGTAATGAGGCAGATCAAAAGAAAAGGTAGAATATAATTAACTTGAAATTCCAGATYCAGGTGACAATAACAGAGTGAATTATTGAGGTTTGCAAGAAACAGTGATTTAAAACATTCTAAGACTGCTTGCCCTAAATGTTTAATCATAGACAGCTTGGATGCCTTTTTCCCTGCAATTATCACCCCAAGGRCACACAATCTTCTGTTCCAGACTGCAGACCAAAGGCCATATACAAATCTTTCTGGCACTTTGGGTGTTAGTCTTTTTTCATGCCTCCACATTCAGAAAGCAGTTCACAGCTCCACATCAATTAATGCTCACTCTTTTCTAACTCCCTCACTGCTAYGGCCAACAATCCATTAGCAAGAAAAAACAGTCCACAAAGAARCATCAGTAACCCAATTACATTTGCTAAAAACAAAAGAAACACAACTCCTGGAGCAAAAACTTACAAGAACTGGAAGAAATCCACATCATTAGCTGTCCACTGCAAGCTTCTCTAGATCATGTAACTCAGTAGAAAAAGTTTGTTTCTCACAGACTCTCTCAGCCAGCATTAGTGACTAACCAGCTTGGGGACTGGTGGCAGACCAGGATGGGCTCAACAGAAAAGTCACCCAGCTTTTAAGGAGGATTGAGCAAACCACACAAGGTCCCTTCTCCCTTTGATGGTGCCTTATTGTGACTTCAGCTAACAAATTTAATTCCAGCTTAAATACACTGTGTATGTTTACACTCCACTGAATCCCCGGTGATTGAAGGGTTCACACACCCCACAAAGCTTCCTCTATTGTCCAGACAAATTTATGTGCCCGAAGATCCTGACAATCCTCTACCACCAGCACAAATAAACCAGCAGTTTCCCTTCTCACTGCACGAAAAGGCACACAAAAAGGCCAGAGTCCAACAGAGATMCCTGAATGTTTTATAATCAACATTATACTGCTAAAGAACTTCCAAGAAAATGCTCCAAGGATTAGTTACCTGCTACTACTAAAAATGTACATAAGCACTGAAAAGACATATAGGGCATGTATTGCACCTTCACATGTCATGATCATCCTGTGTGCTGAACGGATAAATTCTCAAGGGAAGGTGAACATCATCTTCTTTTGAAGGTTCTGAGAAGGGGGGATTCAAATTCTGGTACAGCTCTCTGCTGACAGATAGAGGCAGACTCAGCAAACCCATCACCAGCTGGTCACACGAGATATTTACCCACCCAAGGAGGGTGACACAGGTCCCCAAGCCAGTGTGACCTCCTGATCCTTCATCCCCACCCCAGGGAGCAGCACAGCCACTGCCCCTGCCTGGCCATGGCTTTGGACAGTACCTTGCTGTGGTCAGCTCAGCAGATCCCACGGGGYCAGCATTTCCAGAGGCTGCACACACAGGCAAGGGATGCTCGCAGGGGTCGAGGGGAGAAGCCAACTGATGATCATCACCTGGCCCAGGAGGGCTGTGGAGAGAAAAYACATGGAGAAAGGCAGCCTTAGATGTCTGAGTTCTTGCAGAATTACTGGTTTTGAATCCCTGGACTTCAGCATGAATGAGCTGACTCGTGTGTTAGGGAATGCTGAGAAAGTTGACATTTTTAATCTAAGTTGCTTTTRTTCCCACAGGACTGAAGTCTCTGGATTTTTGTCTGAGTTACAATTGCAGGAGCAATGAGAGAATCCAACAGCAAATTAACCCCATTGTGCTACTGATTATGAAAAGCAAATGAAAAATGGAGCTGCTGCTTGAGAGAACCATCTGCCCATGATGGTTCCTGTACCAAGTGAACTCCCATTCCAAAGGGATGGGACCATTAGCAGATGGATTTGAGGTAACAGATTTAAAATGATCTGTACAAACTCAAAACTGTCAGTGCTTGCGATTCCAGCTTATAAATAAMAAGCTTAAAAATAAATCCAAGAACTCAGCCTTAACTCTAAACAATTACTTCCTTACCTAACTTCAAAATCCAGAKATCCAGTATGATTCTCTACTGCAGTTTAATTTTAATCAAAGAACTTGGCAAGCAGTTAAACTTTGCTATAACAATGTCAGTGTTATTCTGGTGATGACTGAAGGCTGCCATCCGAATGTGCTCACACTTCCCACATTTTATCTAAAGGATTGTGTAACACGTTCACGTGGGAAAAACAATTACAACTCTGAGCGATTAACTGCCCACAGGTGCTCCGGTTTAACCACACCTGAGGGCTCTGCCTGTCGTAGGGAACTTTGAGCCAAGGTGTTTACAGGTTCTAAAGTCCTCTGGCTTGAAGGGTTTCATTTACTGCTGAGTCACAGATGCAGCACAAACTGGGGTGACCTCTTTGCTTTGCCTTAAAACAAGTGTTTATAAAGCAGATTTTGACATCATCAYTTTACAATTTTTTTAACATATATAGTGAATATAATGAGGAGGTTGACAGGTTTTTTTCAGAGCAGGTTTTTTTTGACAGAGCACTGAGGGTACTCCTAGTGAATAGACAAACACACCTCAAGGCCAAACTGCAACTGAAGCTGCTGTGCCCCAACCTGGTGAGAAGCAAAGTGTCTGCTCCTCACCACCCACATTTTCTGCACAACCAACTCCTGGATAGGGCTTTCCATAGTTTATGGACAAAGCAACCTGACACTCAGGCTTGGGGAGGCGATGGCAAAGCTGCTCCTTGCCAAGCCACCCTGCTCTGCGCCACACAAACAATGAAGCCATCCACAGGCTGCTCAAACTCGTTCCACAAGTGACATTCCTGGGCATCACAGCCGCCTTTGGCTCTGGCAGGCGCCTGCCACCAGGTCCCTGCCGCCAGCCCTCTGCAGCCACCAGCCTTTGAGGCCAATTTGTTTCGAGAACTGAGCCCCACAAAAAAGACCACGAGCTTTTTGCATTCTGTTGCCTAAGTTCTGGGTCAAGCCTGGAAGAAGATCTACATAAAATTGCTTCCAAATTCTATTTATGACAAGCATGACTGGAATAGTTTGCAAAGGAAAATAGCTCACAGTTTAACAAGCAGTTGCTTACCAACAGCTGCAGCRAGCACACTAAATTCAGCCCCAAGACCACGGGGTTCAGTCTGTTATTAGTGTGTCACAAGARAAAGACACTGCCCATCAAGCGTCCTTAGGCTCTTGAGTTTCACAATTTCACTTTTAAGGCCTCTACTTAGCCTTGAAAAGAGATTCTCCAAGTYGCTGTTAGAAGGCAGGTATGCAAATAACAAGTTTCAGGCAAAGYTTGACCCACAGTAGTCATTAGATAGCAGAGAATGAATGGGAAATAACTCCACAAACCTGTGTGATTTCTTCTGTTTAAACACAGCAGGTCTGACCTCTGTCTATGTAAGCAGGTTTCAAACCAAGGCAGAAAATTAAGACACAGAGGCAGCGAGCGCTGGGTGCTTGGTGGGCCTGTTTGGTGCTCTCCTCCTGACATCCATGAGATGCAGATCTCAAACCCCTGATTTCATAGGAAAGTTATAAAATGCTTTGAAACTGGTGCTGGAGACAGAAGGCAGCTACAGGTCTTGGCATTTACTCCCCATCCATGTTTTTCCAATCAGGAGAGCTGGATGTGGCTCCCTTTGAACAGTCAACAATCACTCCAAGTTCACTCCAAGGGAAACCAACAAGCATTTCAAACTCTGCTATCTCCAAGGCCCAAACATTTGGTTGTTTTTAATGAGATAATGGCAAGATTTATAGATCATGCTCTTACTCCAGAAATCTCTGGAAAATGGCATCAATAACCACAAGGCAGGACTGAGCTCTCAGTGTTCTCATCATTTGCTGCTGTTTTCTTCTAGAAACAAGAGGTTCCTCAGTGGGTACAGAAARGCTGACAGATCAAATCTTCTAGATYTCATACTTGGCTTTCTAATATCTTGGGCCAAAGAGTTGCTATTTTGACCCTCAGTTCATCCATACATAAGAAAAAATATTAAGCATAGAAAAATATTGAATTTACTGTTGCTAAGTTCTTCCACTGCAATTCTTTGGAAAGGAAAAAGATCTAGCAGCACCTACATCAGTTTAAAATTCATTCATTCAAACACACTGCACCTCATAAAATTTGATCCATTTTATTAATTCCTACATAATACTAGTTTTACCTTCTCACACTTAAGTTTGCAGCTTATCTCACACATTAACCACATTCACTGAAATAAACTTGATGTCTAGAAAATCCAACAATAACCTGYTGTAGTAACTCCATGCACCTTTGGTATTTCCATTCTTTAAAAGTATTTTCATGATTACTGGGACTCCTGTCAATATGATTCAGCAGAGAAAGAGGTAAGAAGCTGTTTCTCATATTAGAAATCAACATTACAGGTATCATTAATGATAACTAAACTTGTTTAGGGAACAGCTCCGAACTGCTGCATAAAATACAAGCAAARGATTAAAAACAAGCAAATCCCTCTTCTTTTTTCCCCTTCTGCACCACTACTTATGAGCTAATTTTAAACTCATTTAAATAACATTTCAGGAAAAACAAGAGATACTAAGATTAAAATTGAAAGTGTGGCTTTATTTCCCAATGAAGTAAGGCAACATCCATCTCCAAAGGACCAGTCCATACATCAGCAACAGCTTAAAAGCTCAGACACAGCAATGACTGGGGGTCACTTCTGCTGGTCACTATTCTTAGATATTGCCAAGTTTTATTTTCACCAGCTAAACATGCRCCCACAGTTGAAAGTTAAAGTTCTGGGAAATATACCGCCTTTTGTAAACCCAACTATTTACGCATTTAAATACGTGATTTTGGAAAAACCTCTCAAGCTTCTTCCATAATCTGAAGAAGAAACTGTGTCTTAAGTGCCTCGCATGAGCACTTTGTATTTAGGTTCAGCCTGGGCAGGCTGAGCCCTGCTGAGCTGGGGCTGTGCAAACGCAATAATGAAGGTATCCAGGAGATGAACAAGCACGTGTTAATTAACAGCAAATAAAACCCCTGTCACACAGGAGAAACACGAGTTTGATGCCCAGCGCATGGCAGCACAGCTGCACTTACGGAGAAAAGMCACTGTCACCAAGACACCGGCACTGGCTCCTGGCGGAATTCTTGCAGTGCCTGGGATTTACATGGGACTCGAGGAATCAGAACAGGTCTGGGTGCCCGGGGAGAGCCRGCCCAGCCCAGCGAGTCACAGCTGTCCCCAAGGGAGGGAGGAAAGGAGGGAGGGAAGGAGCTGCCACCAGCCCGGCCGGCCACAGCCCCTGCGGGCACATGTGTCTGCCCAGCCCGGACACAGCGCTGCGCTTCCAGCAACCCGGGAACCAGTCCCTTCCCCTTCTACCCCCGCACAATTCCACGCTGACAACACAAGGAAGGCAAACAAGGGCAGAAACTGCGTTCTGGAGACGTGAAAGCGTTTTTAGAAGCTTTGCTGAAGGCAATCCCCCAGCCCCGGGAAGCAGCCCCAGCTGTGCAGCAGCTGGCAATCCCTGCAGGTAATTCCCGATGTTCTGCCGGAGCTGTCAGGCACCACGGAGAGGAATTCTCACAAATTGTGTTTTTCTGGCGGTGGTTGTGGAAACCCTGACAAGATAGAGGAGTTATCTTGGCAGGGGATGGGGTTTAGTCACACATTACCTGAGTGCCTGCATTTCCTCTCTCCCCCAATTCTCTTTGCTTGGAAATCCCTTAATTTCTGTGACGTGTGTTCCCAAATTGATCATTGATCAGCCATAACAATAAAACAGAAACAATTTCTTTCTTTCCTGAGTGTTTTACACCACTGTAGTCACATTAAAACTCAAGGTGAGTTACTACATTAATCAAACGTTAATTATTTGAGATTAAAATACTTAAGGGGACTGAAACGTGTTACAGCACTACTTCCTTCGCAAGCTAAAAGAGGGACAGCAGAAAGCCACATAAAAGTGTCAGAAGTATAAATCACGCCTGCACAGGATGAATAAGCACATTTGCTGTAATAACTGTCAACCATTAAAAAAAGCCCATCACGTCACCACCGAGCAGCTTTCAGAGCCTCGGAAGGGCTCTCGGTCACATCCTGATGTCATTGGGGCASAATTTCAAACTTCCCAAATTCCCAGCCAGCAAACCTGAAGCAGAAGTTTCTCAGTGCAAACAACACACACGGAGTCTCCTCCTCACTCGAGCAGAAACCTCAAACCAGCGCAGGAGCCACAAAACCATACAGCATTT